GAGTGCATGGTGCGTGTTGTGCGCGTCGCCTTCGTGGGGTTTGGCCCTCCCCGCGCCTCTTTTTCCTTTCTCTCTCCTCGTCTGCCGTCTGGTGCTGCGGCTTCTGTCCTACTCCCTCTTCTCCATCTTCTCTCCTTCCTTGTCTCCATCCCTGCTTTTCCTGTCTTACGCTGAGCCAGGTCTAGGGCGCGTTGTGTGGGTCTTGCCCCGGCGTCCCTGTCGACGTCTGTGATTCACGAACATCACGCGGTAAGGTCATGTGCACTGTTGTATTGAGGTTGATAAAACATCAAAATAATAATAATAAAAATATATGAAAAACAAATAAAAAAAAACAGAAATAAATCAGAGAGCAAAAAAATTTAAAAAAAAAAAAAACAAATATTTTTTATTTTTTTTTTTAAAAAAAAAATAATATAAAAAATAAAAAAAAATAAAAGCAAAAAAAAGGAATAATAAAGGGAGAAGAAGAGAGAAGGAGGCAAGGAAAAAAAAAGAGAGAAACAAAACAAATTGTTTTTGAGATAGCGTACATGGTCAAAAAGTTCCCAAATTTTCGAGTTTTTTGAACCACAAGCTCAATCCAGAAACCCAATTGTTTTCAGAAAAGAAATAGGAGAGTGTGCATAGTTGTTTTACGCATGCGTTTATGAGCAACCTAAATTGTTTTCTGGGGTTCCGAAAATACAAAATCGCATCACCAGCCGAAACGATTTCCCAGTGATATGCCCGATCGATTTGGCATTCAAAGAGCGAGCGAAGGTCTATGCTGGCGGGACAATTATCAGAGTTCGGGAGAATTCTTGAATTTCGGGAATTTCCAACCGTACAATTATGTTTGTTGCCTTTTTCTATTTTTTTTTTCCATTAGAGTTTTTTGGATGTCTGATGAAACCGTCATGTGCTATTCGAGCGAATGCAGTTTTGTGGTTTAGTGCGGCGATTTCCCAATTTGCCGGACAGCATCGTGCGTGTTAGTGCCGTGCCTGTTTTGTAGAGACGGCTGCAAGAGTTCGTGGTAAGGCAGTCTGTCTGGACGACTGGACAGAGTGCCTCTCGCCCCGCCTGCCACTCGTTTTTCACCTTCTACGCCGGATCCGCACGTGACGTCCGCCTCGTTAATGGGGTGTCTATATGTACTAACTATGCTATTAATGCTCAACCGGAATAACAATTCGTACTCGAAACTACTCTATTTCCTGCTTTTACTTATCTCTGTTGAACATAAACTAAACTACTCAAGACAACAATATAACGAGGTTCGTGAAAACAAAATAGTGAAACACGTCTAGAAACCTAGCATGACTCTGTCATGAATACTTACGCTAAATTATTCCGATAGTCGCAAACGCTATAAAAATAATGGTTTATCGTTGCGCCAATTCTGCATCTCCTATACGAAATGCAAATAAAACACCAAATAGAAAAATTAAGCAAAACAAAACGGAAAAAACGAAAAATTGTCAGAATAAAAAATGATGATGAGATACAAAAAAAACATAATAATTACCGAAAACTATGAAACGATATACATACCGGCGGGTCCACAAATCGTTATATATCGGTCGCGTCACCAAAACAAAAAAAACACAGAAACGCTAACATAACTCTGTGATTGATAACATGCATGTATCGCAGCTTTAACTTGTCGATAACAATGGCATGTTCTGGGTTTCTTATCCTGTGACTTCATAATTGATAACGATTATCTGCGCGTTTTTTTTTTTTTTTTGTTGGTTATATATACTTGATAAAAATGTTTATTGACATGGATATCTATATGTCTTTTCTTTGAACAAAACAAGAAACTCTCGTTTTCTCTTGTTTCTTCGTACTTAACTAAATTACTATGCGATACACGCTAAAGATACAATATATCATAAATATGAATGAAATTGTACTGATCTGAAGAATTTGTTTTATCGAAACTCTGACAATCCCGAACCGTGTGCGGAAAGCTTCTTGACTAATTCGATTACCACAACCACGAACTTAATATTATTATAACGTACCTTATTAGTTGTTTCTTATTGATCATGAGTGTCGTTCCTTTGTCTTCCTTCTCATTTGTTCATTCATTATCTGTTTCTGTTCTTTCCAATTATGTTTCTCTTTTTCTCATCGATCCATAAACTTATCTCACTCTCTTTCGTTTTTTTTTGTTTTCTTCTTCTTACAAACGATAAACTTAGATTCGACACACGTACTTTGTTTAAATCTTGATTGAAATGCTTCAGAATGAAATAGATCAATATGAATTCCACAATTTTTTATTTAAATACAGATTTAAACATTTTAAATCTAGAATCGAGTCTCTACAATATATATATACATATTATAATATATATTATAGATATCTATATTATATATATATATATATATATATATATATATATATATCTATATATATATCTATCTATCTATCTATCTATCTTATCTATCTATTATCTATCTATCTATATTCTATAATCTAAATTCTATATATTATAATTATATATATATATATATATATATATATTATAATATATATATATATAATATAATGTGTGGTGTTGGTGTGTGTGGTTTATTCCCCCCCCCCCCCCCCCCCCCCCCCCCCCCCCCCCCCCCCCCCCCCCTCCCCCCCCCCCCCCCCCCCCCCTCTCTCTTTCCTCTCTCTCTCTCTCTCTCTCTCTCTCTCTATACATATACTATGTACGATGTATGTGTGTGTATATATATAATATATGTATATCTATATATATACATAGAATATATATATATATATATATATATATTATATAATATATATATATATATATATCTATTATATTTATATAATATATAGTGTTGTGTGTGGTGTATACACCCTCTCTCTCTCTCTCCTCTTCTCCCTCTCTCCTCTCCTCTCTCTCTATTAAATTTAAGATATAGATACACACACACATATATATATATATATCAATAAATAAATTTACATCTCTCTATTTCTCTCTATATATATATATTATATATATATATATAATACATTACACATACATACATGCATCCATACACAATACCTTTCCTCTCCGTCGTTCCTTTCTACCTCTCGTTCTCTTCTGTTTTTGTTTTTTTTGCCAAATCATTTTTTTTTTTTTTTTTCTCTCTCGCTCTCTCTCTTCTCTCTGCCTGTAGTATGTGTATGTGTAATGTGTATGTATATATATATATATATATATATATATAGAGAGAGAGAGAGAGAGAGAGAGAGAGAGAGAGAGAGAGAGAGAGAGAGAGAGAGAGAGATATGTGTGTGTATATATATACACATGTGTAGTGCAGACACAGATACACACACCACATGTATGTATGCGTGTATCTCTTCTGTGTAAAGAAAAGCTATCACAATACAATATACATTGCCGTGAATCGTTTAGAAGATTGCGGAGTCGCAAGTTCGTATCATTGCAGATAAGACGGACGTGACCACCATTTATATTTCAAATGCTATGCCCAAGCGACGGCTAAACATAACTCAATGCATATATCCCCGCGCGTGGCCTTACATATGTTAGAATCGGCAGATAGCTGCGAGACCGTGGCCAAGACAAACGCGAATGCGTAACAACATAGCACATGCCGCGCACACGCCAAATTCAACACGCCAACACATACCCCAGAGCAATATCATCGAAAGATGCTCCGTGTATGCGCCCATGCCCATCCATGTTCACTCCCGTGCAACCAGGTGGATGCCCCCAAACCTTAGGGGGAGACCCCTGTCGAATTGTACACGTGCGTGCGCACGTCATCGTACTCATGTTTGTAATTCTACGGTCTTGAATCAATCTGGCATGGGATATCGGAAACGTGTGCAAGAGTGCCGGATGTGTCTTCTCTGTTCGGAATGCTTTCGTCTGTTGAACGATTCCAGAAACCAGCCCATCGTTGGTCACAAGGGAATGCGGAATGCACGCAAACAAACGACAATGGCCAACATGACAGTGTGTGCTTCTTGTGCGATTCCCGGGGGTTAAATGAATAGCGTTAGTCCAGATCAAATACTGTAAATGTTCACTGTCATTTGCCCGCTGCTTTACACGGAATGTTTTAACCATCGGTGACAAACCGCATTGGACCCACAACTTAACAACTACATATAAACAATTGCACATGCCATGTTGTGGAGACAAGACGCAATGTACTCTGATCGAGGTAACTACGGAAAACGCAGACTGTATCCAAGTTTTAAATCGGAGCACCCGCCATCGATAACGTTAATCCAAGACACTCGACCGTCAATACAATGGCGCGGAACCGATTACCTTCCAACAACTTCAAGCCTCGTGCACCCTACGCGGAAACCGTGCAACATCCTATGATATTTCAATACTGGATTTTGTTCGATCGGTAGGTGATGCGTATCAACAGGTACTCCGGTCGGAAATAGCGCGTCCGTGAAATATCAGTACTGCTCGTCTGCAACCCAACCTGGATCTGAAGTAACGGGCATATGATTACTGCACAGATGCCGCCGTCAAGTAAAGTCGTCATTTCTCGACTCACATCATAGTTGCCTGACGGAATGAAACTGACACATGCACACTATTTCGCCCCCTGTGCAGTCGAAGCGCTCTGGCATCCATAACTGCAAGCCTGGCGTGCATGCTATTCATGCTTCTCCTTCTCTCCAGAATGTCGGAATGAACTCTCCCGCAGTCTCCCGCCCTGTGAACTCCCACGTCTCTGGCTCCTTGCTTGCACCGTCTCCCCCGTGCAGCCAGGGCACCGTACACGTCCCAAACTGAAAGGCCTGCCACAGCGGCGGCGGCGGCGGGGGCGTCCACGGCGGCCACAGCGACGACGGGCCGCAGCAAAGGCTTGCCACAGCGGCGGCGGCGGCGGGGGCGTCCACGGCGGCCACAGCCACGACGTGCCGCAGCGGCCACGGCCACGGCCACGGCCACGGCCACGGCCACGGCCGCGGCCACGGCCACGGCCACGGCGCCCGCGCTGCCAGCGGCGGCGGCGGCGGTCGCCTCCTGCTCCACCCAGTTGTGGCACAGCCAGCAGCAGCCGACGTCCCGCTCCACGCTCGCCCACGAGGTGCACTCCCGCGGGCCGAGGCGGCGCCTCGCGACAGTGCGGGGGGAGGAGGAGGAGGAGGAGGAGGAGGAGGAGGAGGAGGAGGAGGAGGAGGAGGAGGAGGAGGAGGGAGGAGGAGGAGGAGGAGGAGGAGGAGGAGGAGAAGGAGGAGGAGGAGGAGGAGGAGGAGGAGGAGGAGGAGAGGAGCAGGAGCAGGAGGAGGGAGGAGGAGGAGGAGGAGGAGGAGGAGGAGGAGGAGGAGGAGGAGGAGGAGGAGGAGGAGAAGGAGCAGGAGGAGGAGGTCCTCTGCGCAAGTCCCGCGACCTGCGCATCGATGACACGGACTCTGGACGAATAGCGTCGGCGGCTTGGAGGGGGGCGGTTTGGAGGGGGCAGGCCTTTCACGGAACGCGGGGGCCCTCTTGGAAGACAAAGGGATTCTCAGGAGCCCACCCGGCTTGTAAGAAGACTGGGTGAAACCGGCTTCCCAGAAGGCTTATGAAAAGCTCCCTGCCCCTTCTAAGACGGCCCCTTTCTTCCAATGAGGCCACCGCCTTCTGAGAAGGCTGCTGCCCTCGCGTCAACTGCTTGTGCGCGGCCAAATTGGGATCTGGATGGAGGTGCGAACTCGGGGGGGGGGTCCAAGCGAAGGTGGCAAGCAATAGGGGTCTCGACAGGATGCAGAGACGAGTCTACGAGCAAGCGGGGCCCCGAAATATTCAAAGGATGACGCGGAGGGATCCAGGCGAGTCATGGCGGCAGCATTCCAGACAGAGAAGAGATGTGATGGGTTCAATCTTGTCCACGCGCTCCTGCGCTGTTCCGAGGCTGGGGTGGGAAGGGTCTCCATGGATGAGGACTAGCAGCGATTGGACACCTTCTTGTGCACCCAGGCGCCGTTGTGGCGAGTTGACCTTGGCCAAGATCTCGAACGTTGGCGGCACACTGCGCACGAGGTCGTTGATGGTGTTCTGCAAAAGCGTGTCCTGATTCCCTGCCCGTCGTGCCGGTCAAGCGGCGTCGCAAGAGTCTCTGCACCCCCTGCTCGCCATCCCCGATCACAGACGGGGGTGCCGCCACGAGAGCAGCTCTCCAAGGGCTGGATCCCTCTGGACGCAGAGATTAGGCAGGCCTGAGCTGGATCGAGTCGCGAGATCGGATTGGCTCGGACATGGACTGGATCGCGCCCGGATCGGCTCGGAATCGGGCTGTTTAGGATCCCGGATCGGGCTCGACCCCTGCAGGCCGGCGAGGGCACCGGCTCGCATCGGATCGGGCAAGGTCGGGTCGACATCGGAATCGAGAATCGGACCGTGAGCAGTCCTGTCGGGTCTGCGCGGGGAGCTCCAGTGCTCCTCACTGGAGCCATCCCGCCTCAGCTGCATTGCCGGCAGCCGCGAGCACATGCCTGGCCTGACAACTCTGGGGCAGTCGCTCCGTCTGCGAACGGTCGAGCAAATCCCACCCGCCCCTCAGGGCGCGAGAGGTCTAACGAGCTCGTTCTGCTAACCCTTTTCTTCCCCTGTCCCCCTATCCCTCCCCTGGGTCTGGAGCTCTCCTTTCGCGAGGTGTCAGATAGTTTTTTGTTGGCGGCCCCAGATGGCTCCAAGAGGGCCCCAGAAGAGCATAATATTACCTCCGAGATCGCTCAAATATCTTGAGCGGGTTCAAGGTAGCATCCAACAGGTCTCTAAGAGCCTTCCAGGACGGCCCCCAAACCCCCGAGACCGCCAGCAGGCCCCAAATATGCCCCAGGAAGCCCCCAAGAAGAGGCCCCCGAGAGGCCCCAATGCACCCCAAACCCGTCTTCAAGAGGCTTCAGAAAGGCCTCCGAAGAGATCCCCACCGACATCCAATAGTCCTCTGACCTACCACCCAGGCGCGGTGATAGTGTGGCCGAAGGCCACCGAGTATTTCAAGCTTCAAGATCGTACATGGCGAGGAAGTGTCAGGCCAAATGCCGCCCAACCCGCCCTAACAACATGTCTAGTGGTGCGGCAGGGAGAAGTTCCTCATAAGGAAGGGGGATGGAGGAGGAGGAGGAGGAGGAGGACGAGGAAGACCAATGTGAATCCAAGAGTTTTCAAATAGATGGGTCATTCCTACTAAGGGAATTGCCCCCCGTTTAGGGACAACCGTGTGAACAGCCTGAAGCGTGCCAGAACACCATTCACAGGACTTCAATGCCACGAGTTGACCTAACTGCTGCGTCTTGACGATGCAGCCAACACTTTTTTTTGCGTCGGCGGCTAGGCAGAGTGACCGTGTTGGCGAGTGGAATCGTGCCAAAGCGCCAATCCTGGGACTTCAGCGCCGCGAATTCTCGTCGCTGTGGCGCCCTGGCAATCCTGAGTCGTTCCAGAACGCCATGTCTGGTACGTTTACCATGAGAGCGAATGAACCTTTTGCCAATTTTAAGACGAATGTACGCGGCGCTAAGGCGAGAACCACTTTTTGAAAATCCCCCGCCCTCAATCCGTGAGCCTCTGGCAATTATTCAAAAACGAATGTGCGCGACGCTGAAGCCAGAACCACATTTAAAAACACCCGCCATCAGTCCGTCAAGCTTTTGCAATTTTGAAAGCGGATGTGCGCGGTGCTCAGGGGCGAGAACCGTATTTTGAAAACTACCCGCCCTCCATCCGTGAAGCTCTGCAATTTGTTGAAACGAATATGCGCGGCGCTACAGCGAGACCCACAATTAGAAAACCACCCGCCCTCAATCTGTGAAGCTCTTGCAAGTTTTAAAGCGCATGTGCGCGGCGCTACGGCAAGAGCCATATTTTGAAAACCACGCGCATTCCATCTGTGAAACTGTTGTCAGGTTTTACGCTTCAGGCCCATGAATGGTACATAAATCTCAAGCGAAACGCCTGGCCTGCCCTTCCGACTGGCCTCGGGGTGCGACAGGGAGGAATTATTTATTCATTTAGGAGGAGAAGAGAAAAAGGAGAGGGAGGAGGACATGTAGGACGAAAACGACGCCGAGGAGGACGCGGTGGAGGCGGAGAAGGATGAAAGTGATGGGGAAACTGAGAAGCAGGAAAAGGAGAAGGATAAGAAAGAGGAGGAGGAGGAGGAGGAGGAGGAGGAGGAGGAGGAGGAGGAGGAGGAGGAGGAGGAGGAGGAGGATTTTTTTGGAAGGGACAGAAAAGTTAACAACATGTCCCGCCCCCTGGGGCCGGTGGTATCGGCCACGCGGTGGGGACAGAGAACTGACCGACCCCTCCTCTGGAGGTGCGGGGGGGGGGAAAAGAGAAGAGGAAGGGGGGAGGGCGAGGAGGAGGAGGAGACAAATGGAACCAGATGCCGAAGGATACGAATTAGCCCTGAAACGTATCATCCCCTGGCCTGCCAAATTGTTGTTGGACAGACCCGTATTAAATGGCCTCGACGGCCAAGCAATACATTCACCATGGCAGGAGAAAGGTGGGAGCAGGAGCAGGGGAGAGGAGGAAGAGGAGGAGGAGGAGGAGGAGGAGGAGGAGCAAAAAAGCGGGGCAGGAGCAGAAGCGAGAGAGGAAAGAGGGGGAGGGCAGTCCCGACCCCGCTAGGGGACGGACAAAGGATCCTAAGCATAGCCTCGGACCCACCCGCAGAAACAAAGAAGGGGAGGAGGAGGCAGAGGGCGGAGAAGGAGAGGAAACAGGGGAAGACGAGGAGGGAGAGTGGGCAGCGTGGTCGCCAAAAACGGCTGCCATGCACAACAGTTGCTTTGAACCCTGGCCCCCGCCAGAAGTGAAAAAACACCGGCCACAAGGCGGGGGAGGGAGGAGAGAGAGAGGGAAGAGGAGCGGAAGGGGAGGGAAGCACGACAGTCACCAGATCACAGCGCGAAGCTCCATTGGCAGACGAATCGCCCGAGTGAACAGAACAGTAAACAATAATACTACTACTACTAATAATAATAATAATAATAATCATAATAATAATAAGAATAATAATAATAATGATAATAATTAAAATAAGAATAATAATAAGAAAACTAAGAATAATAATAATTATAAGAAGAAGACGCAATCGCTGGAAAACGCCACAAGTATATTAATAGTAACGGCACCGCTGGACCTGCGAGACAAAGCGGAAGCCGAGGCCAAACAGCGCGGCTGACCGGAGAGGCCAGGCACCTGCCTGGGCGGCCCCCACCTTTCGTACAACTCACAAGCATCGGTCCCCGAGTATGGGCATGGACCCTAGGGAGAGGCTAGAAGAAACTACACACCACCTACATGCATAACAGAAGGAACAGGCCAGAAGGGTAGAGGGGGAGGAGAAACGCGCGTTCACGCCCTGCGAGGCCCTCAGCCTTGGATGCCCTGGAGCACCTCGTGGAAGCCGAATCTTACCCCCTTGCCATGCTTGATGGGGTACGTCAACGTCGGGATGCCGTGCGGGCTCTGGGGCTTAGTGATGTGGTACTCGACACGCTTATCGACGTGGTACTCGACATACTTCGTTGTCACACGAGAAGATGCCTTCGTCGAGCTGCTGATCCTGGCCATGCTGCTCCGCGTCCGCGAAACGGTCTGGACGGGCGGTGCCTGCGCGGGATGCGGCACGGGAGTCGGCGAGCTGGACGGTGAGGGAGTCGGTGAGCTGGCAGGTGCGGGAAGTAGCGACCTGGACGGTGCGGAAGTCGGCGAGCTGACCGGAGACGGAGTCGGTGGGCTGGTCGGTGCGGGAGTCGGTGAGCTGGCCGATGCGGGAGTCGGTGGGCTGCTCGGCGCGGGAGTCGACGAGCTGGACGGCGCGGGAGTCGGTGAGTTGGTCGGTGCGGGAGTCGGTGAGCTGGTCGGCGCGGGAGTCGGTGAGCAGGTCGATGCGGGAGGCGGTGCGCTGGTCGGCGCGGGAGACGGCAAGCTGGACGGTGCGGGGGTCGGTGAGCTGGGCGGTGAGGAATCATCGAGTTGGCCGGCGCAGGAGCCGGCGGACTGATTGATGCAGGAGTCGGAGAGCTGGTCGTTGCGGGAGTCGGAGAGCTGGTCGGCGCGGGAGTCGGAGAGCTGGTCGATGTGGGAGTCGGTGAGCTGGTCGGCGCGGGAGTCGGTGAGCTGGTCGGTGCGGGGGTCGGCGAGTTGGTCGTCGCGGGAGTCGGCGAGCTGGTCGATGCAGGAGCCTCGCTGGCATGGTGCGGCACAGCATCGTTGACCCTTCCTGCAAGCTGGGCGGCGCGAGAGCCGGTGAGCTGGTCGGCGTGGGAGTCGGTGGGCAGGTCGATTTGGGAGTCGGTGAGCTGGCCGGCCCGGGAGTCAGTGAGCTGGTCGGTGCAGGGGTCGGCGAGTTGGTCGACGCGTCCCTCGGTGAGCTGGTCGGAGTAAAGCTGCTGGTCCCCGCCGCGCTGCTTATCGGCGTGAAACTCCCCGCGCTGATTGCCGCACGAGTGGACGTCGACGTGGAGCTGTTGGTCCCGGTCGTGGTTTTCCGCGTGGAATGGCTGGTCCTCGTCGTTCTGCTCTGGCACGTGGGACTCGTCCCGCTCAGGGACGTCGACGTAGCGCTGCGGATCCTGGATGTAGTGCTCCGTGTGGAGCTCTGGGTGTCGGTCGTGATGTTTAGCGACGTGGTACTCGTCGCGCTGCTTGCCCCAAAAGTGGATGTCAACGTCGAACTGACGGTCCTGGTTGTGGTGCTCCACGTAGGGCCGCCGGTCCCGGCCGTTCTGGCCCGCCTGGAGATGCGTGGCTCCCGAATGGATGTCGACGTAGAGCTGCCGGTGCTGGTCATGGTGCTCCGCGTGGAACTGTTGGACCCCGTCGTATTGCCACGCGACGTGGGACCAAGCCTGCCCCCAAGCGGTGCGTAAGAGGTGTCCAGACCAAACTGTACGCGTTCCCCGGGCCAGGGTTGGAGCAGGAGGACAAAACAAAGATGCAGAGATGGACGTAGGAGCAGGGGTCGGAGTAGCGGCAAGGGGAGAAAGAAACGGATGGAACAAATGACGACCGTGATGGAGAAGAACACGGGGTTGAGACCACGAGGAAGCCGG